TCATGGCTGTCCAAGGCATCCTCACCATCTTCCCCACAAGTGAAAGGCTTCTCTGACAGATGGAGTATAGAGCGTTCCACAAATGAGTCCCTGTCCTTGTCCCATCTGAAGGGCTTTTCTCTACTGTGCTCCTCCTGGTGCTGGTGAAGGTTCACACTGAACCAAAACTCTCTTCCACATGCTCCACATGTATAGAGGGTACTCTCAGGATATGTTCTTTGATGTTCATCCAGGTGCAAAATGTCTTTCAAGAATGGGCCACACATATCACAGGTGTCAGCCTTCTGCGTGGAAGGATTTGAAGTGGGGATCCTGACCTGTAACATCCCTTGTATAGAAGCATTCTGCTTGGAATGGGCCCCCTCATCTTCCGCTCCATGCCAACAACCTAAAAGCAGAGAAATTTCTGGTAACCTGAGTGCTCCACTTGGTGGAAAGGGTGATTTCATTAGAAATGTGTGGCTGGACATATACAGCAATGGGTCCAAGGGATGGTGACAGGTCAAGGGGGCCAGAAGAAGAGTGAAGGGCCCACTGTGTAGGACAGGGATAGCCAAGCTACAGAATAAAGGAGGCCTTACTAGAGGAAATGACAAAGGACTTGAATAGACATTTCTTAAAAGGAGATATGTATATATACATACACATAAACAAATGGCCAACAAGCACATGAAAAGTTGCTCAACATCATTAGTTATTAGAAAAATGCAAACCAAAACTACAGTGAGATACCATTTCACACCAACTAGGCTATCTATAAGAAAACAGACAATAACAAGTGTTGATAAGGAAGTAGAAAAATTGGAACACTCATACACTGCAGTGGGAATATAAAATGGTGCCGCCAATTTGGAAAACACCTTGGCAATTCCACTATGTATCTACCCAAGAGAAATGAAAACATACTTACGTAAAAACTTGTACATGAATGTTCATAGCAACATTTTTCATAACAGCCAAAAAGTGGAAACAAGACAAATGCTCATCAACTGATGAATGAATAAACAAACCATTGTATATCTACACAATGGAATATTATTTGGCCATAAAAAAGAATGAAGTACTGGTAAATGCTACAACGTGGATTAACCTTACAAACATTACACTAACTGAAAGCCATTCACAGAGAAACATATACTGTGTGACTCCATTTATATGAAATGTTTAAATAAGCAAATCTATATAGTCATAAAGTATATTAGCAGTTGCCTAAGGCTGAGGAAGAAGAGATGAGGGAAGATGAGGAATGACTGTTAATGGGTACAATTTCTCTTTAGGTGATAAAAATGTTAGATTATGGTGATATTTATACAACCCTGCAAATACCTAAAAACCACTGAATTATACATTCTGAAGTATGAATTTTATGGTATAGCTCAACAAAGTTTAAAAAAAAAAGTCCCATGGGGGGAAGGGACAGATTCTGGGCATGGCCCCATAGTGGGTCACCGAGTCAGAAATTGGTCTAGCTTAGTGGGATCCATGAGGCACACCATATGTCCCTGATTCCCAACCTCTGTTCCCACAAGGCCCCTGGGCAACAGCTATTAGGACTATTTATGAGGCTGCTCAGAGAAATACAAGGAGAATGCACACAGCCCAGTCCTAGCATCCACAGCATCTATAACAGGAAACCTGGGAAGAACCAGTGCCAATGGTCCAACTTTGGGATGAACAGAAAACTCTCTATGGGAAGAAGGTAAAAGGGAAGAAGCTGGTCACCATGCTGGGGCAGGGCAGAAAGGCCTTACCAAGTGAGGTCATGAGCTCAAAGTTCTCCAGCATAACATTGTGGTACAGGTCCCTCTGGCCTGCATCAAGAAGCCCCCACTCCTCCTTGGAAAAGTACACAGCCACATCTTCAAAGGTCACTGGGCTTTGCAATGATGAAACAGCTAAGCTAGAAGGCCAACAGATGGGCTGAAAAGCAAACAAAAAGTCAAATGGACACATCCAGTTCCTTGACCTATGACTCAGAGTTCTGCTACATCTACCACTGGCATCTTCTCTTCTTGTGACTCCCTCAGTCCATCCTTCCCTCACCCACCCACAGCTCCTCCTCCTCCTCAGGCCCCCACCTCAGAGGAGATAAGAGGCCCTGTCACCACAGATGTCCCTTTATCCTTGTCGTCTCACTAGTTACTGTAGCCAGACCAATCCAATCCAATCCAATCTAGAGGAACAAAAAGCTGATACAGATACTGTCTGTGCTCTGTGCTAGCCAGGAACCCACTCTTCACACTAAACAAGCTCCTTTGTGTCCCCCAGATCACACCTCCCAAGTATAAGAAAATTTGGACTCTATTTCCTCCCTTAAGCCTCTAGTGCCAGGGCCCTGGGCCCATTGGTTCACATTCCCTTACCTTGTACATGTCACTCTTTGGACACCCACTCCCCAGCCCCCACCTTCCCTTCCTGTCCACACCACCGGCATATCCCTAGTTCCTATATCCCACTGTGCACATGGCATACCCAACATAAAATGGGCAACCAGGATTCAATACTAAGCCTGGCTTGCCCCACATCTCCAAAAATCGCCACTGCCAGAGACAATCATCACTTCTGGTTAATGCCTCCCCACTCTGCCTTGTTGCTTCAGCCTTCAGCTCCCCAGAATCATGAATAGATCTTAAACACCCCTGCTCTCTTCCACCTCCACCCTCTACATGCTTTCCCTTCAGCAGTCGTAGCTGTTTTCACAGATAGACAAATCCCAGACCCTAGGCTTGGGGACTCTTAGTTTAGACTGACCCTTTCTGCCCCTGATTACTCCTCCACCCTGAAAAAAACCCCAGACCCCAAGGAGGATGGCCACAAAAACCTGGTGAGCTGTAGAGAGGTAAACCAGTCTCATCTCAGACCCCAATGTCATCCTACCTCTGTTACTTTCATGCTTCATTTTTTTCATCCCAGGTCTAGTCTCTAGGTAGAGGCTTGGTCACCATTCTGGTCAACCCCCAGCCACACATAATGTCAACACACAAGTCTCCCTTGGATGTCTCCAGCATAAAGCATACTTGGCACTTCCATTTGGCAGTCTACAGGACACCTCAAATACAATACGGCTAAAACCTAGCTCTTCATCTTCCCTCTGAAATCTACTCCTCATGCCAACTTCCACACCTGACAAACCTGTCTGGGTCAACCCTGATATCTCACTGCCTCGCAGAAGGAAATCTAGTCCACCCTACTTAAAAGGGAGATTCAGGAGCCAACAATTTCTCCTACTTCTACCTTTGGTCCAGCCACCAAAACACACACTTGAACTGTTGCAGTCACTCAATGGAAGACTCAGTGGTCTTCCTGCCTCCAACTTCACCTCCAGAGAGAACTCTGTTCTCTCCTGGCCATCCAGAGGGAGCCTATTAAGATCTGAATCAGATCACCTCCCTCCTCTGCTCTAAACTTTCCGGGATTCACCATGCTCAGAATAGAGACCCAGCTCCTCAGCCTGCCATTCCAGGCCGAGACCTGTCCCCATGCTTTCTATGTTCACCAGATGAAATGCAGACCTGCAGTTCCTTGAACACTTCCACCTTATACTCACCTTCAAGAAATTTGCACATGCTGGTCCCTGTGCCTGGGATACCCTTCCAGACCTTATCCCATAGGATTCCAGAAATATGAACCTTTGGGGGGGGGGGGAAGTCATCAAGAGGATGTGACTGCCAGTTGACCCATGACCTGGACCTGGGCAATGGGAGGCTTGTCATCATCTCCTGTCCTTGGAATGTGTATTCTTCCCCACTCCCAGAAATTCCCCCAGGGATATAGCTTTGAGATTGTGATCTGACACTGACACCATCTGGATGGTATACTTGACTGAACCAAGTTAAAGTCTCCATATAAACTTTTAAGATTTGTTGGCCTGGTGTGGAGATCTACTCTTGTGGCTGCCCAAGGCAAGCTTCCTATGTACCTGTCCTTGCTTATTAAACCTGCACCAACCAGTCTGGAGTGACGTGCCTCTTTCTTCACTCTCTCCCTACCCTCCACCTCTGGGGTCGGTTTCAGATTACACCAGGGCAGCTCCTGAGGAGGTTGCTAACTTACAGTGAACCCATCCATATAACGTCCAGCTTGGATTCAGGATGCTAGGAAGAGTGACCCTGGGCTCCAGACTCAAGTACAGGCGAAGAGTCCAGGACACCGTCATTCTCTAGTACAGGGGCTCCAGTATCGGGAGGGCAGGGATACCAGCGGGCGAAGAACTGGGGCACCCTCCACTCACCTGCCCGGGGTCCATCAGCGAGGTTGCTGGCCTGGTCAGAGTCTGTGGAGTGGGCGGGGCCGTGCAAGGCAGCGACAGTGACAAGCACTGCGGGGTCATCCAAAACCCTACGCCCCCACTGCCCGGGGTGACCGCGTGCTGACGGTCGCACTCAGGGTTTTAGTAAGTCTTCCCCCGTATAAAATGCGCCCAAGGACCTGGGAGCTGTCTCCGGGGACCGTGGGGCTAAGGCGGAGTGCATTACCTCCGTTCTACATCTGGGGAAACCAAGGCTCAGGAAGGAGGAACCATTAGCCGAGGGTAAAAGTGCATGCAGTGGTGCGGTGACAGTCCCGGGACTTCCCTATGCCCATCTCTGGTCCCAGCAGCCGACTGCCAACCAGCCCACCAACTGCGCGGCAAAGAGTGCAATGGCGACGACGGAAGTCCCGCCCCGTCCTCTGCTGCTAGCGCAGAAACACCCAGACTCTGAGCGGGCAAATGCTCTGGGCCCGCCGCTCGCAACCACGCTAGTTCCTACAACCAGTAGCTGTGCCTCCGGGTCGTTGCCTGGGTGATCAGGATACACACACACACACACACACACACACACACACACACAC